AACCAAGTTGGGATTCTTCATAGTCCATGAGGATCTACATTTTAAAAATAGTCCCACTCAAAAAGATTTTTAGCACCTCAGGCGGTTCCCTCGTAAGATAAAAAACTGTAATATGAAAACTGCTTCAATATTTTGTTGATGAAGAGCTTTATTCAAAAATGAGAACATAAATGAATGTTTTGTGTATCACCATAGCGAGTTATTACAGTCATACGACTTTTCAAACTCATACAGACCGTTGACATGTTTCACTTCACCTCGACTATTTTTAAAATAGATTCGACATTTGTCCAGTAAAACACATTTAGCAGCATCGAAATTATAACTCATGTCAAATAGCAGATCGATGAAATGTGGGAAGCAATCGTTCAACGACAGTGTACTTGTTGTTCGATCTTCATCTTTTGGGTATTTCAAAATTACAATTGACAAAGTATTCTCATTCGCGATACCATTGTGTAACAATTTGAAAGGTCATTGAATTAAGTTTCGTGGTTATAAACTCTTCCTGTTTTACTTTATTTAACAAAATTAAATTGAAAGTGAAATACAAAGACTTTTCAAAGAAATCTTCTTCCTTCTTCAGTTTAAGAAACAATTGAACTGTTTCGAAAACACACACTGTACACTTTTATATCTTTTCTTTTCGTTTTCTTTATACTGAAATGGTCCAGCATTTTCATAAAAATAAAGTTCAATGCTTGTTTAGACCATCAAATGCGTTTGTCATTGATAATGAGATAGACTGGAGGAAGAGATGTGTTAAAGAATCTATTTATTCAATTATTAACAAACCCATAAAGAGACATAATGACAAAGATCAGGCATGGATACCTTTGTTGCATAAGAATACAGATCAAATCAAAAAGAAGATTGAATTTTTACGATCAAAAGAGACAGTCAACGAATTATGAGCAATGTGACGGTGATAGTGGAACGGATAAGAAGAATTACGTAAGAGTAGTTTCGTCTCTGTCCCGGTCCTACCATCCTGTTATTCGTTCATTCCACTATTAAGAAATAAGAAAAAAGTAAAAAGAAAAAGAAAAGAAAAGATATAAAAGTGTACAGTGTGTGTTTTCGAAACAGTTCAGTTGTTTCTTAAACTAAAGAAGGAAGAAGATTTCTTTGAAAAGTCTTTGTATTTCATTTTCAATCTAATTTTCTCTCAACGGTCTGTATGAGTTTGAAAAGTCGTATGACTGCAATAACTCGCTATGGTGATACACAAAACATTCATTTATGTTCTCATTTTTGAATAAAGCTCTTCATCAACAAAATATTGAAGCAGTTTTCATATTACAGTTTTTTATCTTAGATTTATTTAAACAGCTCCGAAAAGAACATCAAGATTTTATACATAAATATAAAGACTTATCATGTATTAAATGTCATCATGGCCAGTTGATGTCAAAAGGTGAAGTAAATCAGTTGAATGATAAATTGTCTGTGAGCATATTCATGGACGGTCAAAATGTCCATTTCGACAACAACTGAAGAAGCAGTGATGACACAATCAGTTTTATTTGAAATAACAATTGATCTCGACAGGGAAACAAAACTCTTGTCAAGTAAACCGTTTGCTGATATAATTAATTAAATCATTTTAAAGGAGAACAAGAAGCTTTATTCGTTGTTGGATCCATGTTCAGTATTGATGAATTTTCTTATGACATTCGTCAATGAGAAGGATGAAACTCATAATTTTACAAACGGTTATCGCTTGTTGAAACCGTTATGTTCTATTAACAGATCAATATTAAAAATTGGCAATCTGATGTTGAATTATGCTAATTCAGAAGATAGTAGTACGGTTTGTCCGCAGGTAACGCGATGACATATTTTCAGCGTCAACGCTTATTTTCTCACACTTGTGAACAAGAACAAAAGCGAATGTTACATTATTTTACAGATCCCGATAGCTTCTGTAAGGGATGTTAAAAGATTTGAAGTATGATCTATCGTTCAAATACTACAGCGTTTATATGGCCGATAACGTGATGACATTTTTAACCGTTTTCTGTCATCGCGTCACGGTTTTCTTGATTTTTATTTAATTAATATAGATGAGCTTGGTTTGATATTTAAAAACTATTACATCCTGCAGAGAAACAATTTTCTACAACCTGATATACTTGCTGTATTTTCGCCTGCTCGTCTTCGCACTGTTAAACACGTTTTTCAGATGGTTTCAAAACTGGGCGTTTAGGTTATTTTTACAACAGCTGTATTTTCATAATGAATCAATTTCCAGAGCCGAGACGCTTCTTGTTTTATAGAGGTCTATTTAACTATCTATTTGGAATCTTAGATTAGTTTGTAGTTCTATTGCAAGAAGTTTTTGAAAATGAACAAAGAAAGGGTACCATTAGCCAGACAAGCCGACTAACAAAGCCGAAATATACTGTAATGTATTGTTGCATACGCTAAAGTGTAGTGGTATTCGTGAAATGACCTGCTTCGTCACACTTGGTTGGCTTGTTTTGAACAAAAACGACTTTTACTTGGTACTAAAGCATCAAAATAAAGCACTCCTCATATATCAGAAATTACCTAAGCATGGGCAACATTTAGATATACTGGCAAACATATCGAAAGCCCAGCAGTGAAAAACTTCAATTTTCCTACGTAAGTACGGAATGCATAAAGGAGTAAAAAAAAAAATTAATTCTCTAAATCGGTTCAGTGGAAGTCGAGGTATGTACATTTTACTTTTTTGGATAAAACAGTTCAATGTGTATGCAATTGACTCATATACAGTACGGATTCTCACGTAAATTTCTTTCGTCCTCTGTACGTTTATCGAAACAACCAATCAAAGAAAGGCGATTATGGGTCCTTTTCAAAACTGATTACTTCCTGCGACAATTATTTTATTGTTTCTCTCATTTTCAAACGTTACCTAATTGGTAATATTCACACGTGAACCATAAAACAACAACCGCTCGCACTTTTATTTTGAGATTAAGTTCCGGTTATATGTCGGACTGTATTTGAGAAATACATGAGAAAATCTAGAGAAGTCTAAGATTGAAACCGTATTAGACTACCGATCAAAATTTTTGTAAAGTTCAAAACATCATTAGCATAATTCCCGTGACGAGTAAAGTAGAATTCAAGGAAGCAAGAGCATGTGTACAAATAAAATTGCTGTGTACTTATTTTAAGCTCAACATCGAAACGAGTTTGAGGTGAATGATTCACCTTTATTGCATTATGTTCCCGAAGAGAAAACCCGGTAAAACATAATGAAATCAGTTTTTTAAGAAACAAACTAAAGAATAGAAACCAGTAGTAAGTGTGAAAAACAGATTTCGGAGAATGAATGACTGATTGAAATTTGTCATGTAAATAAAAGACTCAATTAACGAAAGTTATGAATATTTAAAACAATATTATTTTCACTACAAGACTTTCTTACAATTTAATTCAAATTACAAATTCAGTCACAATGTTGCTGTTATCTTGCCGCGATAGCGGTGCGATCCTGACCTGCTCTTATCGAGATTTGAATACTGCCGGGACTTCATCGAGACATTTTTCAATTTTTTACTTGGGATTTTACTGGGACTCTCGTCGGATTTTTAAAAAAAGTCCCGCGCGATTCCCGACGAGATCCCGTGACGGGAGTCCCTGGACTTTTTGTTCTAGCTAAAGCGGCACCCGTATCGACCAATTCATTGTCTGGTTAATCAACAGTGTCTAGCTTCAACTGATGGGGGAACCGCCCCAAGTGTTCTCGAGCTTTTTTGTCGAAATACACACAGGCATAGGTTATCGCTGATGCTGCTTTCGAATATCATAGTCGGAGCGGCATACGGATCCATGGAGACTCGGTTTTCTAGAAAAGCAGTTTTTCAGAAACTCTAAAAAATAATCAAAACGGTTCTTAATGAGATACAATTGTAGACCACAAATTTCTAATTAAAATGACATAGCTCCCAGCTCCACACGATCTTTCTTTGCAAAGTTATATAATTTACAAGGAAATCCATAAATGTTCATTGTCAGGTCAAAGGTACAAAAATAAGAAGAAAATAATTTAGGACATTTCTTGTAAATTGTATAACTTTGCAAAAAAAGGTGATGTAGAACTAGGAGATGTCTCATTTTAACGAGAAATTTGCGGGCTACAATTATATCTCATTAAGAAAGGTTCTTTGGTTACTTTTTAGAGTTTCTGAAAAACTGCTCTTCTATAAAATCGGGTCTCCAAGGACCTTTATGCATCTTCGACTATGATATTCGGAAGCAGCATTAGCAATAACCTATGCCTATGTGTGTCTGGACGAAAAAGTTCGAGAACACTTGGAGCGGTTCCCTGGTCAGTTGAAGATAGATTCAGTATAGTTTGATCCACATAAAATTTTCATATATTTCATTGCAGCTGGACTCAAGCTAGATAACTGTACCCTTACTTTAGATGCAAGCACCCAATTCACGTTTTTTTGTGCTTGGACCGAATCATTCGAATATGATTTTTCTTATGAGTATCAGAATGTGATGTAATCATTTTTTCTCTATAACAAAAATGCACTATACATAAGTATCGTTTCATTCTGTATTCTATCACAATATAAAACTATACAAAAAAACAAACAGAAAAGAAGCTTTTTTATTACTATTCTATTTATTACATGTGTTCTTACCATACATTAATTTATGAGTCATCTCACTCAGCAACATTGGACTGAAATTATAACAATATTGATACGTTTATTGAATTTAGGCGAACAACTCAGCGTTTATACAATACGAAAATCAACTGATTTCGAAGACGAATATGAACGATTCTATTTCTATATTCTGTTGGCTGTTGGTAGCGCTACAATCATTGACTTTTTGTTTAAAAATAAACTATACAAAATATACTTGTCGATTTTAGTTGATATTGGTGAACTCATAGCATATTTATTACTACTAGAACGTACATCATCCTTATATATTACTGTGTTTAGTTTCTTTGGTGCCGAAATAGTTCTACATATATTCAATATTTATTTAATCGTAACTGATCCACATCAGCCCCAACAACAAGTCAGTTATGGATCAATTAAAATCAAAGAACTTATTGGCATGCTTATTTTTCGTTTGTTTGTCTATACTCTTACGAACTTGGGTCAATTACTATATTTATTTCTTCCAAAAGCATCTACATTTCGTCATCGGTACTATGAAATATTAACAATATTTAGTTTATTTATTGGAAGCATTGCATTTGATTCAATGTTAGATGTTCTAAAGTATGTGAAAAAAATAAAACGTGTTAATAGACAAAGTAATGAACGGCCGAGACAAAAGATGACGAAAATAAACAAAGTTTGGTTTATTTGTTTAGGCTTTATCGGTCTAATCCTTGATTTTATTATTATTCCTTTATCATTAATTATTCTTGGTAGTTTAGAACTACGCTCTAAGAGTTTATTGAATTATGATCGTGGTGTTTATATGTATTGTATTATGAGCGGTGCTACTATGATTATACTATTTCTGACAATTATCGTTTGTTTTTTTAAACTTTTTTTTCTCACAAAAGAAAATGAGGATCAACAGTCGGAAGAAACACGACTCTTAGCTGCTGAAACCTCTTCTTTATCATGTTAGATTTTAGATTCATTTTTTATCTATCGACAACAGATGCCTAGCACTCGTGCTGATACCAGTTGCATGCAATAAATCACAGTTCACATCACAACATTTAATGGCTGAGCACTTAGGCACATATTAAAGCATGTTGGTATTGAAGTTTTGTATTTTTCTCATTTATGTCTGGTTTTAACTTCGGCTGCGAATTACAGAAATTGTATTAAATTCTCGTTCAGCTTGCTTATGAACTTCGTTTATCAAAAACTGTCCAACATACTGCACTCGAATTTTTATCGATGATAGTAAGATACCGAAATTTTGCACAATTTTCTTCTTCGCGGCTTGTCCAGCTAACGGCGTCCATGTTTTGCTCTACTTCTTTTTTTACTTCTTTTTTTTATTGCAATAAAGCTACAAACTAATCTAAAACGGCAACTAGATGATTAAGTAGATTAAACATTTCTCTACAAAATGAAAAGTGTCT